AAAATGTTTAGCTCCCTGAGCTTGGCCTTCATAATTCCATTCCATCACATTGGGAGACGTGATTATGCTGTCCTTTAAAAATCATCTTCAAAGTATACAAAGAAGTTATTTGAGAAATAGAAGGTAAAAAAAACTTTACTAAACAACAAAAATCTAAAATTCTATGAAAAAAAAGATTGTGTTAAATGTCTTACATTATTATGTACGAGAGTTCCAATATTTTAGAATAAAAATAATGATATTACTGCCATATATTTGGAAATAATTATATAGTAGTAGAGAGACTGTTTAACCCTTCCCCACTCCCTGATAAACTTGTAGAGGGAATTTGAAATAAGACCAGTAGTGGCAGATTATCTATCCCAGAGTTAGACATGAAAAGTGAGCTTCCAGAGTTTAACTTGATTTGATAAGCATTGTTTCTGCTGCAGGTAACTATTGCCTATGTGTGTCTTATTTCTGTAATTAGATCTGAATGCAACATTCTACTGTCTTTTAATAAATGTTATACTAAATTAACAAAGATTCAACATAATAAATGATAGAGGCACAGAGACAATTGCAATTAACACGTTTTGTTCCATGTAGTTCCTCTAGCTTTTTCTATCTTGCTAAGAATAAAAATGCAAACCAAATGGAAACTATCACCAAACAAACATAAGTTACCCAAACATGTCAACAGAAGACCAGTGTATTCCATATCCTCTGTACATGCTGAGGATTATTGTAAATTATTGTAAAAATAGGCTGAGGAAGGAATTGTATATTCTACCTTAAATTCATTGGTATAAAGGCATAGAAATATATTATTGCATATGCTGACAAAAACTGAAAGGTAGTTTCAGTGATGTTTGTGTTTCCTTTTCTCTGGTTGTATGAACTTTATATTTAAAATGTTTAATGCACTATAATGTTTATAATTGTCAGATGTTTAGCTACTTGTTTTGTCTTTTTTCCTGGCAGTTGTGACTCTGAAAACAGATACCTTGGTAATCCACTCAGGGGAACATGTTACTGTAAGTATTTGTATATTTCACTTTCCTCTGATCTTGCCTTTGAAATAATATACATGCTAAAATTTACTTAAACTAATAGTGATGAGTTGTTATTAATTGGTGACATCCAATAAACTGTTATTATGAAAGCTATTGATCAGTGTTAAGTTTATGATGGATAAGGGTAGATGAAGTTTATGGTAGATATGGGGTATATGATGTTAAATTGTGACACTGTCAATATCACAAGGTTTGCTGAACTCCTTGGGCTAGGAGAGATATGCATGGGAAAAATAAAATCTTTATCATTATTAATTATTTCAGGATAAATTATTAAAATTTAACTTGCGAACATGTATCATTGCTGTGTAAGATAAATTACTATACTTTCTACTAAAAATAGGGAGATGGTAACTTGCCTTTGGCTGTTGGAGGGATGGTTGCTAAGCTTTAAAAATGTAATTATAGATAATTATACATATCTACATGTTTTCTTCTTAGAGATTGATGTTACTATGCCAATCATGTTAATTATACTTAAGCTTCAATACGAGAGTCAAATAGTGGAAAAAATAAAGCTAAAGAACTTATCTAATGAATTTAAAGTAACTACAGTTAAATAAAGCTTATAATAAATCTATAACAAAAGATAAGTATAGAATATTTCATGAATGTTTGTGAGATTTAGTGGTACAAACAGAATGTTTTGCATCTATAGACATTCTTGTTTTCAACACTTTTTTGTGCTTGGAAAAATAAATACAGCCAAATGTAACCAATGTCCAAGAAGTGACACAATAAAACTTGTGGGCACTGAACAACTTAAAGAAAAATCTTATTGTAATTCTCTAGTAGCTTCATAACTCTTCTTTGACAAAAATTGTATCATACTGTACTCAGATAGCCTTTTTTTTAAAATAGCCAAAGCTGTTTGTCTTCTATTAGTATTTTAGAAATGTGTGGGCTTGGATTTATATCATTTTATAGCACTTACATTAATTGTAAATCTACACTCTGAATAGATTTATCATTTTTTAAAATTCATTTTCATTCTATGTTGATGCGTCATTAACCAGATATAAGTTTTCTTAAGTTAAATATTCAAGTAAGGCAAAGACCCATGGAGAACAACACAAATGATCTGGCTGTTGCAGCAACTCCTCTTTAAAGACAGGTTACTACATTTTGAGCTTTGTAGTTTATAAAAAGACAAGTGAGAGGGACACATTACATTTTATAAAATTATGATAATGTGGAGATAAGTCTCTCTGATATAACACTAGAATTTGGTGTTATCCAGTTTAGAAGTTGCAATAATAATTTTAAAAATCCCCTTGAAGTAATGCGCAGAGCAAATAGTATAGAATTTGTTTCACGAATTGTGGTAATGGCCATTTATATAGATAATTCTGAGTATTGTTTGCTATGGAGAAGGCTATTTCCTTCATTTCACTTTGTGGTCTCCCCAGAAATGTCTTTGGCCTTAATAAGAAACAGGACGCTAGGCAAGGTTTTTGTTTTGTTTTGATACAGCAGCCTTATGTTGCATTTTAGAAGATAGCTGCATCATCAAGAATAATCTCTGTAAAAAAAGGATGTTCAATTTCAGGTACTGAAACCATTTTAAAATCCCAGATTGATTTAATGCCCCTGCCAAATTATCACAGTCCACTAGTGCAGCTGTTTCCATCCCTTTTCTGCCATTTCTTTAAGCACGGTTACAGCATCATTGACTTTTGTAGATCTCCATGTATGCTGGGAGTTGTCAGTGAGATGCCTGCCTGCAGGTGCCATGGCATATGTGATTGCCCAAAGAAGATACTTGAGACCTGAAAAATAACCATTCTTTTCACCAAGAATTTCCACATTGATAGTAAGATAGGTTGGTTGGTAGGTAGGTAAGTAAGTAGGTATTACACAGGTTGAGAACTATTGCATTAATGTATTTTTTCATTGTGTTATATATTAACTACATTAGTATATTATCTAAACTCAGTGTCTAGTTGTTGAAGATGTGGGGGTTCTCAGTCTATGCAGGATATTTGGATATTTCAATAATTTTTGTTAGTGATATTTAAACCCTATTTTTTTTCTCAGTCAATTGGGTGATTTCACTTTGTCAGTTATGCTGTGAATGAAATGACATTGTCCAATATAATGGTAATATATATAGCTACATACTGTCATCTATTAAAGGAGAGGAAACAAAGAACTGAATATTTTCAAAACGTCCTTTAGTAAATGAAAGATGAATGCATTTTCTGGCACTATTGAAGATATTCACATGAAGTAAAAAGTAGATACTGCTAAACCTTATTTTTTATACAAAGGCTGCTACTTATGTAACATTAAATATATGCATCCAGATTTCTAAGGAGAAGAGTTTTAGTGAAAGTTTTAAGATGATAGTTCTACATACATTTTCATGGAAGCAAATTGTGTTTTCATTGAATAGTCTATTCATTTATAGATGGCTTGCTTCTGCGTGCATTCAACTATTCAGGTTTTCTGAAAAAGTCATCAGAATAAGTTATGCCAGTGATCCATCCTTGCCAGCAGTATTGACTCTGACAATGGTCAGATCCAGGAAGGTTGCAGAAATTTATAATCGTACAAAGCAATTATAACTTTATTATAGCTCTTGGATATGTAGCAGAGGCTGTTGGAATTTTGGTCTCCCTCTCCATCTGTTTCTTTCATCCAGTCTGCTTGGAGATTCAAATATTATTTTCACAAAAGGTCACTCAGCTTTGAATTTTGTAATGTTACAAAAATTGTAAGCAATTCTAACTTACGAAAATGACTTTTAGGATAATTGATCAATCCTTATACTTTATACTTTCTCATAGAGGCTTATATATTCAGTAATGTTCAAAGTGCCAGTTAGGTGCTTGGAAATCAAATAACTCTTAAAACCTTTCATAATTACTCCCTATCTGTATCTACCTCAGTACTTCAAACTGTATTGGAGATTTGTGTCAAACAACACTGCAGTCACTCAAATCATGATGTACATTTTATGAGATGGAGAACTGCTTCATAATCTCCCATATGTGTGAACATCTAAAAACATCAAGAAAGCAAACAAATGGAATTGTTTTTTATTTTGCCCAGCTTTCTGACTATTCAAGTTACAAACATACGTGGGAATGGATTGAATGGAAGGAATTGTTATTAGCTGAAATAGAAATATTTTGGAATATGTTTATTGTATTTTTTTCTTAAGTGTTTTAACAAGTTTGATTTCATAGAACCAAAGCTTTTTGGATGGGGGAATGGGTGAAGGACTTTGGTAAATACTGATATTTTATCAAATCTGGATTTGGTTTGTATGTCTGGATATTGCCAGTGCAAGATCCTGAGTGATTTCCCTTCTCAATGAAGAGCTAGTATTGTTCTTAATGGCAAATGGAAAGAATAGAGAATAGATAAAAAGTTTCAGTGATAGAGTAGATGGATCAGCAAACTTTAATAGGATTAGTTATTTTACAGCAAAGAAAATTACAAGTTAAGATGAATAACACAAACAGCAAATACAATGAGCTACTTTGGAAAATTCTCATCATATGCTATATTTCAGTACTAAGTATGCATATCTAATGTATTTTATATAGATTATAATTCTAAATCTAAATTCAAAATAGTTGTAAATTTAGGGAATGATTTAAATATAATTTAATTCATATAGATAATATTAATGGAATGTTACTTCAGTATTAGTAACATTCCTATTAATTTATTAATTTGAACACCTATTTCTGAAAATCTGTTTACATCAGTGGTTTTTAAACTGTGGGTTATGATTGCTGGAGGATTCCAAGAACTTGTGGGGAGGTCACATTTAAAAAATGCTTTCACAAACAGAGTGGGATCCCTGTCATGAGTAAAGTAGGTATAAAATTCAGAACAAGTATATTAACTGTGTTCCAGCTTTGCTGCTAAAAATTAGTTTATTAATGCAGGGGAAGGACACATAAATTGACTTATAGCTTACAAATTCTTCACTGGAAATTTAAGTTTTCTTTGGCAAGTAGTAACTGACGATCAGTTCTAATATCTTTGATAGCTACTAGGTGTCTTAAAAAATAAAATTCAGAATAACTCATGCAATACAAATAGTTTAGCATAGTTTCAATATAATTGTTTTAGCATTGTTTTGAATTTAAGTGATGGAAATAAAATGCATTCCAGATTCAGTTTACTAGGCAGCTCGCTGGAAAAAGAGGAAAATAAGTGCAGTAAAAGAATGCTGATGAAAAGACTGAATTCTATAATTTTTGTTCAGCATACTTTGAGTTTTACGCCTACAGGCTAATTTTTTTAATGCTTATATATTAGATATCCACATTCCAAATCTCAAGCCATTTTGTTTTAAGCCAACATTAAATTTAGTGAGCCATAAAGAAGCTGATTTGGCACATGTTCATGTATACAGAATGGACACAAATAATTTTGTGAGGACACAAGCTGCAGATGCAATATTTTATCACAGTGCATTTCCCCCTATTTGTTTTATATGATGGATGTTGATGAATTCTAGATGGTAAAGGAGGCATCCAAATTTCTGGATTAGCTTTTCATATATTAGCAGCTGAAATCCATGTGGTTTTAGAATCCGTGCTTCTGGGTATTAGTTACAGAAGCAGATGGTTTTGAAATAATGAGGAAAAATTTGTTGAATTTGATGCCACCTTTATAGTTTTAACAAATTGCACTTGAACTAAAATACTTTAACATTATTGATAATTATTTTCAGAAAAAGATATTAGAATAAACAATTGTTTAGAGTTACCAAGTTTCTCTTGAGCACATATAATTGTCATAGGTGTTGGTTGGTAGGATTATTAACAATAGTATTTGAAATTTGCCCCCCAATTTATTATTATTGATTTGTTGTGTGTATATTTTATATTTGTGTATTATATTTTATGTATAGTCAAAACAAAATCCTATTTGATTTGTTTAGAAAAGAGATTAAGATCTGAGCCTCTATAATTTTGAAAGGATAAAAGGTATAAAGA